GGAAACCATCTTGAGTTAAACAAACGCCAGAAAAAATTATAATTGTAAAAATGAGATGTCGACTATCATTATTACAGTGGCTCTGTTGTTTCCAATAACAATTTGGCGTTTTATTTAGTCTGTAACAATCTACAATTGAAATATAAAATAAAGATTTTTCTTTTATTTCCCTCTGAAGTTCTATGCCAAGCTAAGCAGAACTGAATGAAACATCTGTGGATGATTAAAACAAGCTTTCCTATGGGGTTTTGAATAGAAAGTAAACATGGATTTTATCCATAGTCAACAGCATTTACAAATGTAAAGGGAGGAAGCTACTGAGTTTTTGAAGAATGAGCTGTTAGAGAGGAAATAGAAGTATGGAATGGCAGATGGTGATAATTAGTTCCATATGGAGAAAGGCTTCTATTTAAAAAAAAATGACAGTGAGCTGCTCTGGTTGGGTGATATTTTATTGAAGCAATTTTAGTGTCTTATTTCCTATCTTTGTCTTTCTAGAGTAGTCCCGTCTCACAAAACCAATCAAATGTGACTAACATATGTGAGGTATTTTGTTTGGGAGTCTATGTTGGTGCTCGTGAGTGAGGAAACTGCATTGGAGGGTTGTCCAAGTTGGTGAAACTCCCCACTGGATGCCCCACTTATTTCTTCTACTTGAGATTTTTAATTCTTCAATCTACTCTGCTTATCTTTATTTCGAGTTAGTCATAGTTTCCTAACTTCTTGAGACTATGTCATCTAGTATTTAAGAACCCTGAGTTTGGTGCCAGATGGTCTGAATTCAAATTCTGCTTCCCCTTCCTCGCTAGCTGTGTGTGAACTGGGGGTATTACCTAACCTTTGTATGCCTCAGTTTTCTCATTGGCACAATGAGGATAACTAAAACAGTTGCCTAAGTATACTATACAACCTAATGGTACAATTGTTGCAAGGATTAAAATGAATTAATATATGTAAAACACATCCACCAGAATCACTTGGGCCCTGCCCTAGACCTCCTTAATCAGAATCTCACACTTTCTTGATCGTATACCATTATAATTTTTGTAAATAATTTTTGATCTTTTGTCTTCACTATAGGCTTGTTCATATAGTTAGTAATTTACATGTACTGTTGTTCTATTGTAGAATATACATTTTAGAATATATTAACAAGTTAGATGTTTTTAAAGTGAGATAAAAAATACATATAAGGAATGTGAGCATCTTTTTCTCATATATCAGTGGGTTATGATTCCGGGGTCGCTGTTTTAGAATCTATTTGCCGAGTTGAACTAACCTGAAAACAGAAGTACTGAATTCCACTAGCCAAAATCTTCAGGAAACAACAATATAGCCCCGGAGCTTTGGTAATCTCTCCATTCTCTGTGCACGTGGCAAGGCCAAATATGAAATTCTCTTCCCAGTTCCCTGTTTTTCTTTTCAACAATATTTTTGTTTACTTCTATCCCTTCATTCTTTGTATTTTTTTTTGTTGCCGACCAACTCACTATTTGCAGCTGTGACCTTGACAATATTCAGAATCCTCTGTTCTTAGCCACAAATATCTGTAGCTTTCAAAAAGATAAAGTAAGCTCTTTGTTTTTAATTGTTGATAAAGGTTTCCTCACTTCCACCTTACTTCAGTTTTCTTCCCAATTGGCAGGGATTGCTGTAGCTTTCTTAGTTCTGGGTCACCGGTGACTTCACCTCAGTTATGCTGCATCAACACGCAGAGGTGTTAATCTGCTTTTGTTCCCTCCTGCAGCCTTTCTCTAGCTTTATAATTATCCAAGGTGGTAATAGCTCTTAAGAACCTACTCTGTCACCTTGAAATCAAGTGGGTTTTAGCTGAAAACTCAGGCAAGGTCTTAAAGATGTTTCTTTCAGCTGTGAGTAGTGAGGGAGAATTTGAACATGACAGTCCTTAGTTGTAATGATATTCAGATGATGGATTCCCATTACCCTGCATAATGTGGGATGTTGACATTTTATTCAGACATGTAATCCTTGTCATTGAGCGTGGGAAGGAGAGAGATTGCTACCTGAAGTAGGGGTAACACAGGATGGCACTACAGAGAAATGACATAAAGCCCAAAATAATAGCAATAATTATTTTCCACTTTCTGTCATGTCGTTTTTAGAATTCAAATGATATCCTATGGTACTGTCTTCGTGATTTTAAGTGGCTGCTGTGGTTCTGAGCAATGTTTAGGGTACACCTTATTATATAAATGCCTCAATACACATTAATATTTGTTATATATGATTATTGAAACAATATTTGATTTATGTCTTTAGAATCACATCTTATAATCAGAAGAACTTCATCATTGAATTAAGATAAGCTTGCTTTTGGGTTATAATACATATTGTTTTACACTATTAATATGTTGAAGATAGAAAAAATAATTACTATCTTAATGACACCAACTTTATAGTAAATATTCAAGAATATGGTGGTACACATTGCTATTTATCTAGAGAGGTTAAAGAAGAGGGTTTTTATTTAATATGAAAATCCCATATGTACCATATTTATAAATAATTTGAATACAATAAAATATACAGAAATGCATACAGAATTCAATCTTTCAGCCTTCTTGTAGGAACATGGTAATCGAGTAGGATTAAATATCCCTATGCTCCCCTCTTAAAATTCATAAAGGAGAAAGCAACATAACATAGTCAAGAAGAAGGGGACACTTGGCCTGAGTGAGGAGGAATGTGTTTTCTGCTGCTGTTGGGTGGCATGTTCTATATATTATGAGTTCCATTTGATAAAAAGTT